ATGGTGTGTCATCTTTATAAAATTCTTTCAACTTTGGAGGTGATATTCTTGCCTTATGATTTTTAGACTCTAAAGTCTCCTTCCCTAAAATCTTAAGCATTATTGACTGTATACAGGGCTCTTTGAAGTGTGATGCCTTTTCTTTCCTTGCCTACTGTAGCCATGTGACTTTGATATTTGGGTAAAATGCTCCTCGGGGCTACTTTATTTGAAAAATATTTATTAAAAACTTCTCTTTTGGATGTATTTTTACTATCTATATCTATCTATCTATCTATCTATCTATCTATATATATATGTATGTATGTATTTAGTTATAGATGGACACAATACCTTTATTTTATTTTTATGTGGTGCCGAGGATTGAACCCGGTGCCTCATGTGTGCCAGGAGAGTGCTTTACCACTCAGCCCCAGCCCCAGCCCCTATTTTTACTTTTTTATCAAATTAAGTATTAGGGGATGGAAGGATAACTTCATAAGTGCAGTACCCAACATGGTAGATATCAGGCACATTGACTATTTAAGTTTCAACTAAGAAAGTGCAATAGAATTAAACATTAATCTCCTCAGTCATACTAGCCACAGTTCAAGTGCTCAATGGCCAAATGTGACTTATGGTTACCATATTCGACTATGCAAATACAGAAAAATTCCATTATCAAGTCCAGTTCTATTGGATACCCTGCTATAGAATAGAGGTCTGCAAACTGACCTGTGGAGCCAGTGTGGACCACTGTCTGTTTTGTTAATAAAATTTTATTGGCATACAGCCATTACTGTCTGTTTGCATATTGTCTATGGCTGTTGTCAGACCAGCAGAATCAAGTAGTTGGAACAGAAACTATATAGCCCACAGAGCCTAAAGTATTTTCTTTTTGTCCTCTCTCACACACACACATGCCGCAGTCTGGCTGGGCACAAAGCCTTGTAAATTCAAATAGCAACTCTTTATTCCCGAACTCTCACCTGCACACACACTTCCCGGGAGTACACTCCCTCCACCGGGCTCCACGCGCCAATTCTCCCAGAACCCCCTGAGAACTCCAGGGGAACTCCAAAGTAGTGGGTGCCCAAGGCAGCAGGATCCGCCCTAATCCCAGCAGGAGTCCTCCTATTCCTGGAGGATCCGCCCTAATCCCAGAGCAGGGTCACCTTTCAACCATTCCCTCTAGCAAAATGCCAGGCGTCATTCCAACTAAACTGTGGCTCTCAACACACACACACACACAAATGTTGTGACCTCTGCTTTTGACTATATATATATTCATAAGACTGAGGTTAAATAATGTGATTATTATGTTCATACTACATATTCAATACATTGGTAGTATAGCATATCATGTAAGGCAGTGTCTCATAGTCTAAAGATGAGCTAAACCAGAAGAAGAGTTAAAAATAGAGCATAAGACCACACCTTTGGATTGCTGGGTAAGAACAATCACTCCCTTGTAGGGACAACTGGAAGACTGAGTCCTTCTCTGGTAAATCAGCTCCTTCCAATACTGAGAGAATTAAAGAAACAAGAATACCAGTCAAGACAGAATAGTCAACATCCAAGTTTTCAGTCCATTTCAAGTGGGCTGGGAAAACTAGTAGGTTTAGTATCTAGGCTGCTTGCCCCCTTGTCACACCTGGGCCCAGGGTGTAGTTCTGAGTTAAAGAATGGAATCTACAGTGGACACTAGGATGGTTAGAAGATTGATTAGTGTAATTAGGTGGGGTGAAATATATGAAACATGTCAAACTTGAAAACCTTCTCATTAAACCCTACAACATTGACTTTAAAAGGATTTTTCCCCCAGAAAAGGAGGTTTTTAATTCAATAATGACTAGTTTCCAAATTTTGAATTATTGAATCAGTTAAGTGTTTTATGGTTCTCTTTTTTCTTGTGTGATATCCAAGAGATAGTCTCTTAGATGACCTGTGAAATCTTAAATCTATTTTGTTTGACATTCTGCATACAAGTTTTAATAGTATTAAACCATAGAGCTGTTCCATTTTGTTAGAAGGGGAAAAGTTAGTTGATTTCAAATTATAATGCAAAGTAATACATGTAATCGTTTTACAGTGAGCTATAGAATTGTCTTTATTACTGTTTCTTTGTTACTTTCCCAGGTTTAAGTTAGCACCATTTTCTGCTCAAAATGCCCTTACTTCTATCTTAGGCCAGGGCTCTCTCTGATAAGGGCTCAGCAAGGACCTTATAAAGGCTGACCCTTACTGAGCAGATTATACTGTAGCATGGAGCTAAATTTAGAGGAAAGCTGTGTCTCTGCTCCAAATAGTAACAGCTAAACCATAGATACTCTTGGTGAAGAGAATACCTTCATTTAGTCTTTCACTAAGTGGGTGAGTTTTGGGGTTTTGTTAGTTTTATATGGTGGTTTTTATGTCAAAAATTTTGCATATATATCTGTTTATATTTTATTATATTATTTTCTATATAAACTATATTGAGGATGTAGAAAATAAGTCCCCATAACTGGGCCCTGAAGAGGAACTTTTTTATTTAGAACTGAAGTAGGTATAAAAAAAGCTAAGGATTTTTTAAATAGAGTACTTCTCTCATAGTATGTTGATAATTATCCATTAACAGAGAAAGATAGAAACAAGGTACAAATATGGACTTACTTACAGAGAAATCCATGAGTTTATAACCTAGACTAAAAATAAAAATTTTAGATATGGTTCATGCTTTAAAATTAATTATGAAACAAAACATCTTCGGCAGAGAGCAGCTCCTTGAATGTTTGCCTGCTGAAGACGTTTCAAGCTATTTGGGCTCTATTTTTGGCTTTGAATGAGAACCAAACTCTTGACAGATTTTTGATGTTGCCCTTTTTAAAAAATAAAATAAAACAAGAATACATTCTGAATATTATGTTTGGGAGATACAGAGACAAGGAGGGAACTACTTACACAATGACATCAATTTTGCACCAATTAAATGTTTGTTGATCCACAGTAAATTCTGAAAATGCCAACAGGGAAATTTCTGAATGAGTTTTACAGTGAACATAAATAATGGATTAGAAACAATTTCCAACATTCATCAAATAAAATGAGATTTTATCAATTAAGTTGTTTTCCCCTTGTTTCGATATGTAGCTCTTGCCCCATATTTGAGCTGCAATCAGTCACTGTCTCTACCCTGGTTCTGGTCTGTACTTCTGTTTCAAGGGTTGCATTGTGTTTTGAAGGTTTGGATTTTATCTCTCCCACTAAATTCCTTGAGGGTGTGGATTCTGCTTTAGTCACCTTTTGTTTCTCCAGGCATGCGCTATTAAGTTCATTTTAGTTCATAGAAATGATCAAATTTCTCTCAATTCAAATGGTAAAACTTGAATTTACTTTTGCATTGTTAATGCTTTTGTAATTGGTTTCACTTTTAAAATAATGATTGATTAGAACTTTTCCATGGCAGATTGGTATTTTGTTTTACTTTGTTGTTGGTGCTGAGGATCCAGCCAGGGCCCCCAGCATGGTAAACAAGTGCTCTGCCACAGAGCTATGTACACCCGAGCCCTGGAATGGAAGGTTTGTTTAATAAACAGAATAAAGATTTTTCCATGTTTTTAAAACTCTGAAAGATGAGATAATCTGCTTGAATATAGTACCTTTTATCTTGTTTGGCTTTCATAATTTAAGCAATCCAGATATATTTTAGTGTATAATATTAATACCAGCATGGTTATTCTCAATTGTTAAGAGGTATTTTGCAGCAAGTTTTACATATTTTTTAATCCTTCTCAAAATTTCCTTGTTTAGAAAAGCACATATTCTGTTTATCCCTTTTTTAATCAAATAAAATTATACATTCCATTCTTTTTTTGGGGGGGGGTCTGTTTTTTTTCCCTCAGTATCATTATGCCTGAATCATCCTTCCATATCAGCAGAGCAGTGTATTTGAGAAGCATTCATTAAAAGCTAAACTTTGTTAGCTTTTTAGGTGTTAAAGATATATTATTGAGTAAAAACCTACGTGACTCCTAGCTCATTGACGTTAACTTTCATGGGGGAAGCAGACCACAAACAGATAATAATAAAATGGCAGATAATGCTAAAGGTTAGGAAGGGAGAAAAAAACTAGGTAAAGATTTGAGAGTGACAAGAGGCCATGTTTGTCAGAATAGTTAGGGAGGGGGCTGGAGTTGTGGCTCAGTGGTAGAGTACTTGCCTAGCACGTGGGAGGCCCTGGGTTCCATCCTCATCACCACATAAAAATAAATAAATAAAATAAAGATATTGTGTCCATCTACAACTAAAAAATAAATATTTAAAAAAAAAATAGTTAAGGAGGCCTCTCTGAAATGAGGTGTTTGAATGAATGCAGTAGGTAAGCCATGTGGACAGCTGGGGAGGATGCTTCCTGAAAAGACAGGTGCAGAGCCTTAGAAATAGAACCTTATCAACAGTAGGGCAGTGTGGCTGAAACTCATTGAGTGATAGGAAGAGATGTGGATTTAACATACATATGTAATCAGAGACACAGCCAAGGCTAGAAATCGAATGCATTCTTTTGTAAAGCTGCCTAATGTTTCATGTAGTGGCTAACTTAGGTCTTGTCTAATCAGACTTCATATTTATGGTCATTTGACACCCCCCCACACACACACAATGAATCCAGCAATACCACAACTAAATACTTTTACATATACACATATGTTGGCATTCTTGTGTGGTATAGCTGCAGGATAAATTCCTAGGAAAGGAATTGATGGACCATAGGTTATATACATGTAATATTTATAGATAACTCACTGTATGCTCCTCAAAAGTATGGTATTGAGTCTAACCTTTGCCAAAGTTGACATGTGGTTGTTTTCCCTGTGTCCTTTGAAAACAGCTGATATTGGTAAACATTAAAAATTTGCCTAGTCCAATTATTTTTAAAAGATGTTCATTTTTTGATTGACATAGAACATATGTTCATTAGCCATATATAAAAATGTGTGAACTGTTTATTTAAAATATATAACCTTTATTTTGTTTTTCAGAAATTTTATGAATAAGCATCAGAAGCCAGTGCTAACAGGCCAGCGGTTCAAAACTCGGAAAAGGGGTAGGCTGTGTTGTGTTTATGTGTGTTTAAAGTTCTAATCAAACTATCAGATTGGAGAAGAATTCAAAGTTTTGTGCTTCCACTTAATCTCACAAATTTCACTAATGTGCTCTAAATGTAGAATCTGAAGTTCTGCAGTCAAGCTATAGAATTACCAGTTTCCTAGATGTTTGTTGGACAAGTTATTTAGCTTGAGGGAAGTTGATATACTTGACTGTTTTTAACATCAGCATTTGTATTTGGGTTTTGTTTGTTTTGTTGTTTTGAGAAAATATTGATAGCAAAGGTAATACCGAGAGAAAAGTGAGTTACAGAAAGAGATGTTGAGTTTTTTGCTTTCTCAGAATTTAGGAAGTCAAATTAGATCTACTGTCCTAAATTCCTCTAAATTCATAGTATTTTCAAATCTCTTTTATTGTGAGTAGAAAAGTAATAGATACAGTTTGACAGTGACAGATAAAATTTCTTTTTTATCTGCTATTCATCTTACTGCTCTTCCTGTGTAAAGACTATTTTAACATGATTTTACATTGTCAGTTGCACAATTACATGAATTGTTATTTTACAGTTATATTTTACACAAATACATGGGTTTATACAATTATGTTATATATTTTGCATTTAGTAATTTTTATGCAATTATGTCCTTGAATATAAAGACAGTTGAACTGAAACTCAAAGAGGAAACACGAGGTGAATTATTAAGCTAACTAATATTGAGAGGGATGGCTGAGAAGTATTTAAGGAAGTATCCTGTATGAAGATAAACAGCCTTGAAGTATAGTCCCACTCAGTGATCTCTGAGTGCTGAATTGTTTCATTGATGACCCACTGTGTGCCCTTTTATTTTGATTCCTGGCTTAACCCATAAGCTGAATGAGTTCAGATATAGGCTATGCCACCTGCATTTATTTTTCATCTAATGTCTTACTCTCACTGCATTTCCCCACTGAGGAATCTGGAAGCAAATAACAAACATGAGGTGCTGACCAGCATGCATTTATTGTCTCCTTATTTAAACAGTCTTAAAGAAAAAAAAAAAAGATGCAGATGATTTCAAAAGGAGTTTAACAGTCATGAGCGATATAGTTTAGAAACCTTATTATAGTGAAGGTTTTGTGGAGCCCAGTAATGTGACACCAGTTAATCTAAGCCCAACTGTGAGGCACAGAGAGGTTTGCTGTTGCCCGCCTGCTGAGGGTATGTGCTAATCTCAGACCTGGATCTCCAGCTCAAGCTGCGTGATGAGCGAGACGCTGATTCACTGTAACTGAGCTCTAGAGCCAGGAAAGCCCAAGAACTATTGCACAACTGCAGCCCTGACTCCATCAGTAAGCTGGCCCTTGCCGTCCGCCTGCAGCGTGGAGCCACAAAGGTTTTCTCTAATTCTGAACAAGTTTGCCTCTGATTCATCGGGTGGTCAAGATTGTGCAGCAAGAGTACTCAGGGAGAGATACTGAGAGACATATATTATTTGTCAGTTGATCTGGACTTACATAACTCAGGTCTGTTGAGGATTTAAACAACACTTGAGCCATTTTGTGCCAAACTGCTGACTGGGAAAAATAAAATTGTGTCAACCTCATTTTCTGCTCTTCATACTAAATTGCCTACTGATAATTTATTGTGCCTTGGCTTTTCTTTGCCTTTATCATGGGATTGACTTCATATAAATGGTTAGTAGTTTCATAGGGGTGAGTGGGGGAAACTACAAGGGCTATCTCAAGGACATTTGATAGTCTCTCTTTCAAAGGTTTATCATTACCTTGAAACTTTTCCTAACAAAGATAATGCTCTTGCATGCCAAGGTAGTTAAAAAAAAAAAAAAAAAAAAGAATTGTTGCCTAATGCAAATATAAACAATATGGTAGAGCACATCACACAGGACCCATTTATACCCTCTTCTATGAAATACATCATATGCTCTCCAAATTTATATTTTCTACTATGACTTGTAGGATCTTGTAGAAACTAGATAAAATTGGTGAAATTAAGAGGAAAAAAAAGAGGAACAAATGCAGGCATCCAAGTGACAATGTTCTCAGGCTTATCCCTCAGACTTTAGCTTTGTGCTACTGGGTTTCAATCACAATTAGATTTATAGGATTGGGGTTTAACATAGTAGCAGAGCAGTTGTCTAGCATATGTGGGGTCCTGGGTTTGATCCCCAGCACTGCCAAAAAAAAGAGATTTATGATAAGTGTATTAATAACTAATCGAGTATACCTATAAATCTTGAAATATTTGTATATAATTAGAAAATACATGATTTTTTTTTTTTTTTTTTACTTGTTTACTATGCTTCGGTGACTTTTGGGAAGGGATGTAGGTTGTATTATTAATCACTTCATTAACAGGTTAGACAAATGCTTTATTAACCAGTTACTGTAGCTCTTATAATAAGTAATACAGTCAGAAAACTTACAGGCATATTTGAGCATCAGGAATAGGCCTGTTTTTCTGTCAGCGAAAGGGCCATTATGACTAACTCCTCCTCGGTGTCATATTTGTGATTCACCAACACAGTATAAATTTGAGACCCTAATTATATACTTCCTACTTCAGGAAAGGTTTGAACTGCCAAATGGAAACCAAAAGAGGCAATGATATATTTTTGTTAGGATTTTTAAAGTATTGCTGCTAGTTTGTCCTCAAATGAAATAAAAACTACACAATATCCTGTTGTTTCAGATGAAAGGAAATCTTTGGTTAAAATGTTGTCTTGTTTCCCCAAACTTCCATTAGTGTTCTTGTCATTTTCTTCTATAGGAGTTTCTGTCTCTCTTGATAGAGACTATCTTTGTAGGTGAGAGATTTTGGGGGTGTGGAAAAGAATTATTAGTCCCATCATGCCATCCTAAGTTTTTAAGGTTTCTAAGCTATAAATAGTCATTTTGACTTAATGCATTATTGCTCACTGTTGGAATGTCCTTGGCCATGATATATTATCTTCCTTTTATTTTTCTTCCTTGGCAATTCTTTTGGAAAATTAGAATGGGACGATTATGGCCTTTTTATAAACACAAGTTTTTAAGTTGTCTCTTAAATTCAAAACAAGTTCTTCCACATGGATTCTTGGCCTAGCCTAAGTTTTTCCTTATTTACCAACATATATTACCCAATATGCCTCAATTTGTAATTTTCAAACCATCAAAATCTGATCTACCACCTGAGTCAACATCCAAACATGTTGTGTCATTGTGGGGATGGCCTCAGTTCATTTTGGAAGCTGGCCACAAGACTTAATAAACAGGCTGTGGTCTTTTCACTTCCAGTATTCTCATAATATAGGAAAGAAAACATCTTTCTCCTAAGAGGAAGGAGAATTGCTTTTTAGTTAGATCCTGAATAAGAAGTGAAGTTTTATTTGCTTGCTAATGGGTTCTTCTTGCTTAGAGATACAGTTTTCCTCTCTTCCAGCTCTATATAATGTGTTTTTCTAGGGGCTAGGGTTGTGGCTCAGCATCGGAGCACTCGCCTAGTACGTGTGAGGCCCTGGGTTCGATCCTCAGCACCACATACAAATAAATAAATAAAATAAAGGTATTGTGTCCAACTACAACTAAAAATTAAATATTAAAAAAAAAAATGTTTCTTTAGACCTCTTATGTATCCCCACTGTCCAACACAGGAACCAAATTTTATTTATTTTTTTCTGCTGTCAACATTTGTGTTCTTGGCTGCATGATGTTTTGCTTATGGCATCAAAAGGACTTTTTATCTCATGTGTGATGAATATTGTTCTGTTCGTTTGTGTATGTCTTTATGGCATCTCACACCCTGTGGCTCTGACTGGTACTGCGAATGCCATTCTTCTCTGGCTCTAATGCTGATGTAAGTTTTGTTAACCACTGATAACCCATCCTTCTGTTACATGTAGTAGTCAGTCTATGCAAACCGGACAGTTTGGTTTTTACATGTAGTTTTAATTTTATTAAAATTATGCAAGCACATCATTTAAATAGTCAAACGGTTCTGCAAGGCAAGTTCTAACAACAGCAGGGCCTGCTCTTCCCCAGGGGAACTCTTTGAACCTTTTTAACTGCTACTTTTGATATTTACATTCATGTAGTCAAACAGCATTCTTTATAGCTATTTCTTGATTTTTCTGTTGGAAGTGTTAAATATGTACTTCCTACTAAAGAATTTGAGGATTCTGCTTTCTCACTGTCCACACCCAGCTCATACCTCTTTATCATAATTTCAGTTAGACTTATGTTTAGGATTCATAGTATTATGACTTTGTGCATGCTGTTCACAGCTCAACTGTTATTTGATTATTTTTTTTAACATATTTTCTGAATTAAATAATTAAAAGTAGTCAGCCTTTGGCTGGGAGTGTAGCTCAGTGGTATATCATATACAGAGCATGTGTCAATTCCTGGATTCCACCCTCTACACTGTAAAAGAAAAACGAAAATGAAAACTAGGCAGCCTTTACCTTTCCTGTTGTGTAAATCTCTTCTTACAAGACACTTCAGAATTCTAACAATGAGAGGCTAGTGGAGGGATTTGTATGTCATATCACATTGATAAACTCTAGGTCAGCTGTGGAGCTTGATGTGTTTGAAATGTCCTTTCACCATTATCCTCAACAGTACTATTTGTTTTTGTTTGTTTTTCACAACTTATTCCCTAGTCGTTCTCTATTTTGGAAGCTTGAATGTTTCAGTATACATTCACTTTGTTCTTACTCTTGATTAGTAGCTAAACACTACAATTAGCTAAACACTACAATTCTAGGTTGGAAGCTCTTTTTCTTCAGACTTTTGAACAAGTTTCTTCTGCTTTCTGATATGTCATGAATTGTTGAGTAATTCTTGTCACTCTATTTCTTATTACTTTCTGTGTGGCTTGTTGTTGTTGTTTTGTTTTGCCCATAATCTCCTGATGGTTGCTCTGTTCCCAGTATTCTGTAAATTCGTGATAATGAACTTACCTGGTATGGTTCCCTTTTCAATCACTGTACTGGACACTTAAAAAGCCCTTTATTTGGAAACTTGCATTCTTCAATTCTGTGACGCTTTCTAAAAATAACTTCCTTTACAGTTTTTTTATTCTATCTTTTCACCATACTTATGTGAATATTTGACTGATCTGCTCTTAACATTTTTCTCTTCTATTTTCTAGGCCTCTGTTATATATATGTTGTTTCTTTTTTCCCCCCATATTTTATTGGTACATTATAATTGTACATAATGGTGGGATTCATCGTTATATATTCATACATGCACACAATATAGCAATATAATTTAGCCAATATCATTCCCGAGTTTTCTGACAGATATTCTAAGCTTTCTCTTTTAATTCTTCCATTGAGTTTTTCACTTTTTTGTTATTTTTTTTATTTTAAGAACTCATTTTTACTTGTAAATTTTTTAAGTATTATTCCCTCCCCTTCCATCTCTAGTTTGTCTCCTCCTCCATCTGACTTAAAATCCACCTTTCACAAGAAGTATCTTTAGTGTCTAGACCAAAACTCCTGCCAATCCTTTCCCTTCCTGGCAGATTCTCTGTGCTCACCCACCTCGTTCCCTGCAGCAGTTCATTTATGCCTGTAAATAAAAGCCTTTGGGGTTGTTTTAGATTTTTCTTCTCAATGTTTGCTCAGAATAAAAAATTATACAATATTTATATTCCTTTAAGTCTTCTAAAGTCCTTTCAGAGGATCTACAAATCAGAACTGTTAATTACAATATTGAGATATTAAACTCTTTTGATGTTCTCTGAGTTTGCAGTGGAGTTTATAGAGTCTATACAGTATGTAATGTTGCAGTAGATTGAACTCAGTAGGTGTAAGCGTCCGTCCATCTACTATTAATCAGTTGTTAAAAGGATTTGCAAGACTGTAAAACAATACCATTCTTCTCAGTACTTTTTTCACCTAATAAACATTCTAGTTTTCTATTTTCTAGTAAAATAAGTATCCACAGATATAACCTTCATGAACAGAAAGCTCTTTTTAATTCTCAGTGCTGTTTAAGAGTATCAAGGGGTGAAGAGACCAAAAAGTTTAAACCCTCTGCTCTGAGGCAGTATTATACATCTATAGCTAATAACATTTATTGAAGAATTTATATTCTAGAGTAATTTGTCTTATAAAGGAGATATTCCTATTCATTTCTTCCTTCTCAATCTTTGCTTTTTATTTTTATTCTTATAAATTCTTTGGTGTTTCTCTGGATCATTTTCTTTCTTGGTCTAAGGTGAAACAGCAATTTAAGTTGCAGTTGTTACACTCTTTAGTTTTTTCCTCTGATTAAAGTTAATAGATTTTATTGGCTTAGCCTACAAATGACAAATGAACAATCATTAATTTTATTATATATTAGATAATTGAAATATTCTTGTGGCCCCTTTGAACAGAAATGCATTATTTGCTTGAGTAAGTGTTTAAACAAGGGGTTTAAGAACATGGGATTCTAATAGAAAAACTTAAATTGCCCTTTAATTTCTAAATAATCACACTAAATAAAGAATAATGGACAAAGAGAATATGTGTAAAACACCTTGGGGAATATAATGTGTATATATAAAAGGAATAATTTAATGGATTTTCAATTTTAGATGAAAAAGAGAAATTCGAACCCACGGTCTTCAGGGATACACTTGTCCAGGGGCTTAATGAAGCTGGTGATGACCTTGAAGCTGTAGCCAAATTTCTGGACTCGACTGGCTCAAGATTAGATTATCGTCGCTATGCAGACACACTCTTTGATATCCTGGTGGCAGGCAGTATGCTTGGTAAGCCATGTGTTATAACATCTTTTTATAATATATGTATATATGTTTTAATTCTATTTTAATATTTCTTTGTAAAATCCTATAAGCTTGCATTTATTAGAATTCATTTTTAAAATGCAAATAAGAGTCTACAGTTTTTTACCTAAATGACAATTTGGAATGATATTAATGTGGGTTTGAAATGATAACTCGCTAATAAATGCATAGAACTGAAATTTTCTCTTGACATTACAACTGTCAGCTACTTTCTTTCACTAAAAGCCAACTGTCCCATGTGTCCCTAATCCTTCAATGTTTATGTAGAGGCCCTGAAGGATAATTTCTACAGAAGAGTGTAGCTTTGTGTATGTCATCTGGATCCTTCTTGTATACTTATGAGACCACATGTTTATCATATGGCAGCTTTTCTTTTGAACATCATTCCTTTATTTAGTACATTGAAGTGTTAACTGTCAACAAATTTAAAATCAATTTTTCAAGGTTTAGTTAATGCCATTTCATCCATAAGTAATAAAATATCCAAGAAATACAGTTTAAGCCTAGTTTCTTTTTATTGTTTTGCAGTACTGGGGATTGAAGCCAGGGCCTTGCACATGTTTAAGGCAAGTGCTCTACAACTGAGCTACATTCCCAGCCCTTAAAGACTGGTGTTAAAAAAAAAAAAAAAAAAAAAAAGCACTCACACACACACACTAAAAGCTGTTTCTAACAGAGCAATTGAGGGAAAGGCTTCAGGATACTATTTGTATCCTGTGTTACACAGCTGACCAAAAAGCTTACTTAGGTATCCTAACCACTTGGTTTTTTTTTTTTTTTTTCCTGTCAAAGTCATTCTTAGGTCTTGGTTGTTGTAATTAGTTTGTATAGTAGTCATAAATTACTACCTGTGGTCAGTTTTCAATTGTTTAGGAGACATTTGCAAATGTATGGAAGTATTTGGGGTTGGGACAGGTATGCTTCGGATTCTGCTATGCAAAGATATTTCAACACAATGAAAAATTGCCCTGCCATAAATGCCATCTGGGCCTCTCACTGAGAAACACTGCTTAAGCCAACTTCAAGACAAGGTGTGTCAATTCCCCCACTTTGAGGTGGAGCTATTCTAAGCTCTTATTCCAAATACTTGTTTTGGTGCTTGGTCTCATTTATTACCAGGCCCTTATTATCCTGCATTACTGATTTTCAACACATACTAAATCAGTTTTATTGTTCTTACTGTTTACATAGATTGCTCATTATCACTTTAGATAATTCAAAAACTGTATACATTGTGTTCTACTCCCAATACCCCAAAATGATCATTGTTGATATTTTGCTTAATTTTCTTCTAGAATCTCTTTACCTCATAAACTTTTGAGAATGCAGTGATACTCAGAATGTAGGGTATACATGGGAATTTACATTTACTCAGCAATATATTATTGCCTTTCACACCCATGAGTGTTACTAGCCAAAATGATATTAAAGAATATTATTTACAGTTTTCAACATTGTAAACAACAATGGTATCAGTGTCTGTGTACACATCTTTGTGCTATTATGTAATTATATCTTTATTTACATAGCAAAGGATTAATGGATTAAAGGGTGGAAATATCTATATCTATTTGTATTTCCCTATGTGAGAGAGAAAATTAGCCATCAAATTGAATGCTATAGTTAATATTTTGTCGAAAATCACAAGTACTTATATGCATTTTCAACAGTGTTAGATAACTGAGAGTTGTTAGCCTTTTTAGATCTTCATCAATCAGTTAAATGACAAATATTTCACAATTTATAATTGTTAGCAAAATCAAAGATTTTCTAATATGATTATTGGCTGTAGTTATTGCATTTATTATGAAATATTTTATGAATACACTGGTAACTCCATGCAAAAATAATCTTCAGCTGGTTCTTACCAAAGTTCCACATGATTGCATTAATCAATCATATAGATTTTGTTGTTGTTACTGTTTATGCAGATTGCTCATTGCCACTGTAGATAATCCAAGTCAGGGTATAAAAAGCTGTATATAGTGTTTTCAGCTCCAGGCTGCATTGTTGATCTTTCTGTCATTCTTGAGATTTGCTTTTTGTTGTTGTTGTTTTTATTATTTATTTATTTGTTTATTGTTCTGGGAATTGAACCTAGAGGTGCTTTGCCACTGAGACTCATTCCCAGCCCC